TTTTTGGAAACAGGTTTCAGGGTTGATTTTTGATTAATTTTACAAAATAATTAACTTTGACGAATGTATGATTTAAAAATATTTTATAATTCTTTGACCTCAATACAAGAAACAAGTAGGCTATAAAAACCTCTCCAGTAATGCAAAAATTTATCTATACAATCTTATAATTTAAATATGATGGATCCCCTCACATATATAATGTAATATTTTTTGTGTAATATGTGTTTTACATCACAAAGTTTTGTATGACTGTTAGATTTGTTATCAAATACCCACCCACCTCCAGTGTGCTGCATTCACCTTGATGACGCAACGGCAGCCATATTGCAGTGCAATCTGAGCTGCATCCAATGCTTTTTAATGTACTCACCTAACCCCACCCCTAACCATACCGTCACAGTGACGTCATTCACTCCATTGAGTGCATTGTGTCTCAGCGATGCAATCTCAGCTTGCATCATAAAGGCTGCATCCCGATACTACTGGCCATATTACGCCAGACCGAACACCAAACACCAGCTGAGTGGTGGAGAGGAGACAGAGGGATGAAGCCAATTATGATAAGGGGATGCAGGAGGCCATGATGGGCAGTGGCGGGGGTTAAACTCCTTCTCTTTTTCTGAGATTTTTAACGACCACAGAGAGTAGGCACCTCGATTTAACGTCTCATCCTAATGATGAGTAACTTTGAATGATTTATGTTTAATCTTGATTAATGACAGTAATTAAGGTAGTTAAAAAAAGCAAGGGTCACTGTGGTGAGATCTTTTAAAGGAATAGCTGAGTGAAGGTCAAGGCTAACATTACCCAGTGTTGAGAAGAAACAGATTTCATGTCTCACATAGAGAAATGATGATAGTGCAATACAGTGCTGCATTACAATAATGTATTGCTTATTAAACACCTTCATTTAATTCTAATTGTCTCTCCCTATTCAAAAATCATTTCATTTGTCCAGATTAAGATCCGGCTGCTTGTAAGCTCTTTAAAGATGTCCTGCATAATGTCAACACACTGATGTGAAAAGTAGCTAAGTCCTGCCCGAAAAGTAGCTAAAAGTGGCCAATTGACATTACACACTAATTTGCATATCAGTGACGTCATCGCGTAGTATCTGACAAGCGTAAGCCCATCATGTCTCTTCTCTCTGAGGCGCTGTGTATTATATTATATTACATAATTACATCTAAATGCACAATAAATAGGTTCTTATTAACATATTACTTTGCGTGATGACGTCATTGCGTAATCGCCACTCAAAACTACATCTTTATGTAGTATGCAAAATAATAATTCTCAAATAGACTATTTGTAAAAGTAATACAAACACTTTTTGAGAAAAAATTTTTTATTTTAAATATAACACTGATAATGAACCGTTACATTCTTTAAACAATCACAGGTTGTGTACAATTACTCTATTTAACTTGTGAAATTAACGCATCTGTGAAAGTAACAATTATAGCACTATTGGAATTTATTGCTTCCTAAATCACCAACAATTATACATGTAACAAATATCAGTAAATTAACAGTTATGAAAAACTATTTTGAGCTAGCAATTTACTTTACTGAGTCAAAGTCCCTTTAAGGCAAGTCATTTTACTCGGCAGCCATCTTTGAATGGGGAAATATCAAATTCTCCAAAACTACTTGCCAAGATTATGATTACATGTCATATTATGAATAACTGATACAATTATTCAACAAGTGTCTATTAAGTTTTATTTCTAAATGTTCGTATTACACAATCTGCAGAAACTCACATCTGGTTTAAGCCCCTCCCCCGAAGAATTGTCATTTGGTAGCGTTTGTTGATTGGCTCCTATACTAGAAGGCAGGCTTTATTTGCCGTATAGCGATCGCTGATTGGCTCCTGTACTAGAAAGTGGGGCTTCATTCGTCATATTGACTGTTACACTTTCCCCCATTCAAAAGTATACGAGTGACATGTCTTGTGTATTCTATAGTCTTTGACTGAGTGAAGCCTGCAGCCTCCACAATAATATCCAGCTGAAGGCCCACAGAATCACACACGTTTCAGGCACACGTTATCCGGCAAACACCCACAATTTTTTTATTATGGATTTCCCACATTAATACTATAGTAATTTATAGTAAGCAATATATTGTTTTTAAACCATAAAGTACTGGTAATTTGTTGTAATTATGTAATTATGGTTGCAACAAATTTAGCATTACAAACAAATGAACTGTTAATAATTAATAAAAAAAAAATATATATATATATATATATATATATATATATATATATATATATATATATATATATATATATATATATATATAATTAGTTTAATATACTTAATCCTACAATTAGACGGTCTGTTATGTTTTCTTTGTGTGGACACGTGAATAAAGTCATAAGTGTTTAACCAGTTATTTTTATTTACATAATTTGAGAACTGCAGAAATGTTAAAATGATTGTTACGATATAATAATTATATAATGACTGAAATGGAAACCATATTTTTGAAATCCAATAAGTGGCGTGTGCTAGATTGTGTGTGCCTGAAACATGTGTGGTGCTGCGGGTCTGCAGCTCGCAGCCACTGCTCTTTTGAGTCCCTTTTTTAAAAATGCTAAAAGTGGCCAAATGAATGTTAAAAATTGCTAAAGTTGTTACTAGGTGCTATTTGGAAAAAAAAGTTGCTAGGGTAGTATGAAAAGCTGCTAAATCCAGCAACAAAATTGCTAAATTGTTAACACTGTTCCGGAAATCACGAAGCGGGTGACCAATCATAACGCAGCTAAAATCCACGCCCCGTCTTCAGAACTATCAACCAATCACAGAGAAGCTCTTAGCCACGCCTAGTCTCTCGAGCCAACTGGGTCTCTCTCAGCTGTAAACGACGCCTTTTTACACGAAAACTGCGCCTTCATCATTTTTATCATCTCGTGCAGATTTTCAAGGCAAGCCAGTCAGACCGGAAGTACAGGCAGTTTTTCTGTCATCGCGCAGAGGGAAGCAGTCAGCGCCTAGTGAGGTCATCTGCTTCAAGGTGCACCTGAACATCGCCTGTGGTGTTAAAACGAGGTGTGTGAGACATATATCACCGATTGACTCATTGAACAATAGCGCACATTTGTCTGTTTCGATGTTATTGTTATGTTAATGTTCGTAAGGTTGTGTATGCTACCTAACGTTACCGCTGTTTTATCCGGTTGCAGGGGGTATGAGTAACAATATGCTTATAGACATGGATTATTGTTGAATACTTTATACACAAAAAATAAAACTATCACTTACAGTTCAGCATAACAGTCTATCGCTTTTAATTAAATGATTTTCAAGTCGTAGAGTGTGTTTATTTTACTTGTCCTTGTACATGTTCAGAGCAATGAGGTTCAGAGCTGTTAGCATTAGCTACGACAGTTGTAAATATGTGCTTTATTTCTCAAGATTTACGCTACATAGAAATTATTTTCTACAATTATTTTGTTACTTTCTAAACTAGTCAGATGTGTAAATGTAAAAGCTACTGCTATTCTTTGCTTTTTTACATGTAATACTAAGCTAACGTTACTGTTGATAGTCATTATTATTGTTTACACTCGTGCATGAAAATTTAGGTAAAGTTGGTTTTATGTTTTTTTTTACATTCAGACATTCTCTTTAATAATATAATTTCAGGAAAGTATTATTTGCAGATTCTAATAGGAAATTCATATTAGCAGCCAATGATTATTAGAGTACAGCATTCACAGTCAATTAAATAGTGCTACTGTTGTTTTGAAGTCGTACTTGCATGCTTATTCAGACCGAATATTCAAAGTAGCATAAGTAATGAATGGAATGAAAATTGAGGTAAAGTTGGTTTTATTTTTGCACATTCGTTCAGGGACAACTTGTGACATGGCCCCTATATTGTTTACCATAGTACTTTGAATATTCATTGAGGTAAAATTGGTTTTACATTTGCACATTCGTTCAGGGACAACTCTACGCATGGGCTGGTATAAGATTCTGACGGTATGATAACCTTGGACAAAAAATATCAGTATCACGGTATTGTGATTACTGCTCTAAAATAAGTTCTTTTAAAAGATTTTTTAAAAATCCTTTTCCCCCCAATGCACACAATATATTTCAATTTAGGAAACATCTAAAATATTTTGGAACAGTAGCTTTTGTTGTAGAGGTTCCTTTTCTGCTGGAGATACTGTTGCTCTAAAAAACTAAATAAAATAAGTCTTACACATACATACCTTAGGAATGGTATAACAGAAATTATTGGCGGTTAAATTGTGCAAACCCTGGTATACCTTGAAAACAGTTATCGTCCCATGCCTACTTGTGACATGGTCCCTATATTGTTTACCATAGTACTTTAAATATTCGGTCTAAAATCGCACGCAAGTATAACTTAAAAACATCATTAGCACTATTTAATTGACTGTGAACAACATTGTACTTTGATCGTCATTGGCTGCTTATATGATTCCACTTTTTAGAATTTGCAAATAATACTTTTTAGAAATTATATTATTTATTGTAAAGTTTGAATGTGCCATAAAACCCAACTTTACCTCAATTGCATGAAAATAACCATCGTAATGAAGAGCCAGTATTAATCCCTCTTTCTTAATAATAGTAAATAAAATGTGTTTCTTTTTACTTCACACAGTCTTAGTTTTATTTCCACTTTTTAAACTATTTTCATTTGACTCAGCATTCTTCATGGCATAGATCTGAAATGTCAAGATTAACTTGTTCAGACAAACAAAGCTTGAACAGCTTCTAAACTCAGTTGAGTTTCTCAAGGTGATTGTTATTGATTGAAATAACTCAGGCTTATTTGTGATCTTCACAGAAGTCAGATAGGATGTCTGGAGATTTGCCCTTGAATATCAACATTAAGGAACCACGATGGGACCAGGGCACATTTATGGGCCGGGCTCAGCACTTCTTCATGGTGACGGACCCCAGAAACGTGCTGCTATCCAGTGAGGTTTTAGAGGATGCCAGAGTTACTGTGGAGAACTACAGGTATGTGAACACAATCCAATACCATGCAGCGTTGGGCCGTCCAACATTCAATATAGGCGATTGCTTATGGCCCCGCGTTTCTTGGAGGGCTCCACGAACGCTGCTTTTAAAAATTTACTATGAACATAAGCATGTGATCATGGACAAACACGTGATCACTAATCATGAACAAAGGTCAATGCACAAACTCCATTAAATGTAATTCAATTCACAACGACGGTGAGAAAAAAAAACTCCACATTTGAGCAAAATGAACAGCTCTGAATAATACTTATATGACAAATAACTGAAAACAATAATAAATACACAACAACAGTGTGAATAAAAGCAGAAAATATTAGAAATATACTCAGCAGCATCATGCTCTATTTTGCATAACACTATCTGCGATCGACTATTGGGCGAACTAGAATAATGTAACGTATTTCTACACAGATTCAATATATCTCTCCAAATTGCTCAAGTTTGATAGAAACCAGAAAAAAACGTAAGTAATATAACGTCACAAGTGTCGTTGCTTTTTTCAATCGATCTTAATCAAATATTAGTTTGAAATGAAATGGCATTCAAACACATCTTTCCGGACCTGAAAAAAAGGAAGAAAAAAAAAGCAGAGGAAGAAAAGCTCCAAAGAAAACAAAACTTGCAAACTTATTTGTTTAAATATGAGTAAATATTTTTACATATGTATTAAAGGTTAAATATGTTACTGTTAATAAAAATGTACACACTTAAATTTTAGAATTGTATTTCTTTCTTCTATGATATACGGTACATGATATACTTTCTTCTACGATATACGGATATGATATACGGTACAGGATGTCGTGAATCTTGGCTTTCCTTTCCAAACTAGCTCTTAAAACAATGTAGCATAGGTTTGTTGTTTGAAATGCAATGCTAATCAATCATAACATAGGTTTAACCTTGGTCTTGGGTGTCAGCCTTGATCGTGTATTCATGCGTGAACAGCTGCAAGGTTTTGCTTTATTTCGAAGAAAAGCTATGGCGGAAAAGAATCTTTTAGATAATCTTTTAAGACAAAAAGAATTAGAAAAAATGCACTTGCTATTGTTCAGTAACAGTATGTGCTAAAAGTTGCGTTCAGTGACAAAATACCAGGAAAGTTTTCAGAAAAGCAGGTGTTTCTCCTTCCTATTAAAGAGAAGATCCTAGTTAAGATAAAAATTTATTCTTAAAGCATCTTAAACCTTAAAAGAACTCTTAAGGTCAAATGTGTTAAGAGTAGGGAGGATGGCTTTTTATAAATTACCATTTTGGCAGCACGGTGGCGCAGTGGGTAGCATGTTCAACTCGCAGCAAAAAAGGTCGCTGGTTCAAACCCGAGCTGGGCCAGTCTGCATTTCTGTGTGGAGTTTGCGTGTTCTCCCGGTGTTCGTGTGGGTTTTCTCCGGGTGCTCCGGTTTCCCCCAAGTCCAAAAACATGCAGCATAGGTGAATTGGGTAGGCTAATTTGTCCGTAGTGTATGTGTTTGAAGGAGTGTGTATGGATGTTTCCCTGTGATGGGTTGCAGCTGGAAGGGCATCCGCTGCATAAAACATATTCTGGATAAGTTGGTGGTTCATTCCACCGTGGCAACCCCAGATTAATAATGGGACTAAGCCAAAAAGAAAATGAATTAATTAATTTACAATATTAAGATATTTAACAACTTGGGAAAATACAGTGTTGATTTGGGTCTGTCAAAGACTATTCAGACAGACACTTTCAGATCCTCTTTATTGAGCTTTAGTTTATTTCATTTTCATTTATAGCATGTACCCATGTGACTACAAATAATCCAACAGTCCCACTTAAATAGATAGCAATCAGTACAATTGGGATGAGCCAAGCGATTTTTGTCTTGTTCTTGAGCCTATAAATTATGTTAAGTTAGAAATGAACTGTATTTACCACACTTTTTATCTCTAACAGTTTCATTTTTGTTTTAAATGATGTATCATGCACTTCATTATTTTGTAAAAGTTAAAGTCTGTTATGAAATACCATAACCTTCCCTGCTCACTCGAAATGACGTTTCTTCATTTCTGGTTACTTGGAATGCCTTTTAGGAGGGGCCATCGTCAGGGCGTGTATCGTTTCTGCCCTGCTATTTTTTTTAAGACAAAACTTTAACAAGAATATAAATATGACAGTAGCGGTTGTTGAAAGAATGAAGAACTGTACCAAAGGAATATGCCTCTGTAATTGAAGCTATCTCTTCTAGTATTGTTTCTTTATAGAGGTATTTCATACTCTAAGAATGCATCTTTTCTTCACCCTGCTCATACTTTCTGTGGCAAGTTTTGTTTTTCATTTAGCAACAAGAATAACAATAACAACATATGCCTACTATTCCAAAAAATAAATAAAAATAAACTGATTGGTAAAGCAAAAATATGTTATTTTTTATTGGTCTAAGTTTACTCAAAATATTGATTTTAGGCAGACCCGGCTCCAGCTACACAGATATTTGGAGTCAATTAATATAAGATTTTGAAGACAATTTTGACAAGAACATAAATATGACAGTAAATACATTTATTTTTTTATTAAATAAATTACATTTCTGTTTCTGTTCTAATCAATAACAACAATCTTAATAGTTATTAACTATTATTATTATTAATGTTATGTGCACTACTGGTTAAAGTGTGAACTAAGATTGTTTTTATTGCTCACCAAAGCTGCTTTTATTTATTCAAAATTCTTGATACTAAGTTGATTTTCTGCTCAGTTGTTAATTAATATAGGTGCACATTTGTTAAATGTTTCTTTGTATTATCAAAGCTAAAAATATGTTTAATAGGAACCATTTCCACCACTGAAGTTTCAAAACGACAAATTTATTTTTAATAACTGTTTTTTTAATCTAAAAAAAGATTCAACTGTTGTTTTTATTTAATCCTCTTTGCATAAAATATTAATCTTTTTAAAAACAGCAAACTTACACTACCATTCAAAAGTTTTGGGCATCATGGTTTCCACAAAATATTAATCACCTTCTCATTGGTCAGATAAGCAGAGCCCAGTGCCACCCTAAATTCCATTGAGTTGCTGTTTGAAAAGCTCAAACAAAAATAGAAATGCCTGAAAGCACCACCAACCTACAAATCAACCTACGAATGGCTTTTATATGTCTCTGCATCTTACACACATAACAGTGAAACTATTTTAAATCCAATATACTGTTTCCACTTTCCATTTATATCAATCTATTTTATATTCCTGTTTTGATGTTACTGTGCATGTGAATATAATGTCCTACTTCTCAGGTTAGGGGTTGTGAAGCCTGGGCTAACAGAAGATGCACTGTGGAGGGCCAAATACATCTACGACTCCGCTTTCCACCCAGACACAGGAGAGAAAATGTTGCTAGTTGGACGCATGTCTGCACAAGTGCCCATGAACATGACTATTACAGGCTGCATGCTTACCTTTTACAGGTAAGAACACTGCCACTCCTGATCATTTTATTGTTCTGGACACAATATGTGCAGAAACTCTTAAAATGTTGAATGTAAGAGGCCAGAAAAGGAAATGGAGTAAATCTTTCCATAGTCTGGAATAAATATCCCTGCTCTGTTTAGTGAATATTTCCTAAATGAGTCATCATGGAGAAGGCGGCACTCCTTCTGAGTCTGCTGGTTTCATTCAGAAGCGTTTACTTGGTTTTATGGTAGTACTTTTGCTTTTAAATATGGGACAAAAAAAGAATGCTTTAAAATTGAGGCTGGTTTCAGACTACCCTTTTTTTCTGGTTTGTGTAGTGTCATTGAGAAGGTAAAACTTGTACCTAGCATCGCTTTTTTTATGTCATTATATTTTTTAGGGGTTTTACTTTTGAGTGCAGATTACAGAAACAAAAGCATGGGGATCAGAGAGTGGGAAAGGATCAGCAAAGAACTTCAAGCTGGGAATTGAACTCAGGTCACCGTGAGCATCTCAGTGCTATATGTTGATAAACTGAACCACTAGAATAAAGATTTGAGATATTGGTAATATTATAAAGCAGGAGTTTTGTATGCATAGTTCTACAAACCTTTCCTGTATTACATATATCCAGCTATCAGCACAGATATTGTCATCTCTCTTATTTTGCTGTATTAGAGAGATGTGTAGCTCTGTATTAGAACTTCTGTTCCGAATGGTCAATGTCTTTGCAAAAAGTAGTTGAAATTTACATTACCCTTCAAACTTTGATGAATCAAAGTGTTTTCAATTGCATGATTTTAAAGCTTTTTTTTTATCTTGTATGAGGTTTTCATGAGGTGTTTTTAGCAGTTTGAAAAGGGAATATTTCACACATCCGCCATGGAAACTGCAATATTGCTAATATTCACAGCTGAAGACTGTGCTTTACTTTCAGCTTTGGAGTATATAGAAAATCTATCATTTTTACTGACTCCCAAATCATGCCTCCAAGTTATGGAATCTTAAAAAAATGATCATTCTTTGATTGATAATATTTTAATTAAATTTCACCAACTACAAAATCAGTTGTATCACATTTTTTGCTGGGTTCCAAGACATGTCGGGCTTTCAGGAAATGAGCGAGCTGATGCAACTGCTAAGGATGGTTTAAGGCAAGTATTGAACAAATGCCAAAATTCCTCCATCAGAGATGAGACCTGTTTTTCAATGTCTACATTTTAAACAAGATGAGTGGGATGCTTTGGAAAGTAATAAATTACATGAAATACAACCTGAAATTTCACACAGAATTTTAAAACATTTTAAGACTAGATCTGATCAAGTAGTTTTTACCAGATGTCATACTGGGCATACAACAATAACTCATTGTTTTTTGCGCCAAGGTAAAAACCCTACCCAGTGTTGGTACTGCACGATTCCCCTTACATTAAAACACAATTTACTGGACTGTCCTGCTGTTTTTTTATGAAATAACCTCGCTTAAGGACATTTTTAGCAAAAGCTCTTAAGGACATTTTTCTGACACCAGAAAAGATTTTAGAATTTTATCATGTATCAACACTAAAAATCGTATTTAATTTGTGTATTAATTAATTTGTTAATTTTTTTTATTGTATATTTATTATTGAAATGTTCCTGCCATGAAAATAGCCTTGGTTGCTGACATGGCATTAAATTAAAAAAATACATTACATTACATTTGTTATTTGTGCAGGCCACGTGACATGTACATTTCAAATGACAAGCAAGCAAAAATAATCCTCAAAATTATTGAAAAGAATTAAACTGTCACTGATAAAAGAGCAACAGCAAATAGAATAGAATAAAAAGAAACTATTGAATCAAGTCTGCTTATATGTTTTTAAATTCAAGTTCCAAGTAATTAGTTAACAGATGTTAAAAACCAAATGTTAAATAACACAGCATAGTCTTTATTACAGGAACTTTCTTTGTTTCTTAATAAAGTCCTACGCTCAAGAGCAGTGTGGTTTTGGAATTTTACTGTCAGCATGAGAAATATAGCCCATTGACCCTTTCACACGGATAAAGTTGCACCGTTACTAATCAATACTGGAGTATTTAACATGATACAATACTGCTTTTGGTTAGTATCGATGCGAGCTTCGCTCTCCTCTCATCAGCAGCAGTTAACACAAGCACAGTATTAAGAAAATGTATAGAATATGGATATTTTTCAATATATCGTATCGAAGTTAGAAATTCCAGTATCTTGACACTATACTCGATATTAGGTTTGTATAACATAGTTTGACAAAATTTGCTAGTATTTGACCATTTAGGCTTACAACCTAACCTAAAGTTAATGGTGAAGGCCGAAATTGAAACATAAAATGTTTTTTTAATACTTGCACAGCCGTTGGGTTATAAAGTATTAAAAATTGATAAATCAATTTAGATAACTTAAAGGCCATTTAAAAGTATTTAAAAAGTCTTTAATGCTATTTTACAAGGCATTCAATTCGGTATCAGTATGCTAAATTTTACCCGAGTTAAATTTTGAATATTGGGACGCTGTGTAGATTATGAAATAAAAAAAGTCCTGCTATATTTGACATCACGCTGCTTTGTTTACTGCACTAACCAGGGAAACACTGTTATTCCTGCTGCTGTAAAGACGTCACCTGCTGGATTAACATTTTTATTCAGTGTATATAAATACAGTCTTAGTTTAAAATTTTTGTCTTGCAATCAGTGTTTACAGAATATATTTTGCAAGTACTGATGTTTGCAGTTCTACTGGTTGAAACCTGAAGTGGTGATGAGGTCTTAAAATGTATGCAAAGAGTCTTAAAAAAGGTCTCAAAATGTGTTGAATTTCAATCTTTGATTCCTGTATATACCCTGCAATAACACTGCACGACTATAGAAGGTTGGTCTGTTCATCCAGGAATTCAGAATCCAGTTGTGAAATGTGAAAATACACTATATAACTTCTGAGAAACACCTCATACATGCCCGCTTCCAAGTATATAGCCTCATAACTTCAGCTAATGAAAGAAAAAAGGTAATATCACAATGTTTTTTTATATAGTTGTATAAACGCATCATAATAATTTTGAACAATTCTGTAATGGAAACCAAACTACTGATATAACAAATCCCATCATGGAGGACCAAAAAAATGTATGTTCCAGAACTGTGTTAATATTATGTTGTCCAAACTTGGCATAAGATTTAAAAAGTTTTCTTTGTTGGCCCATTTGCAAATGAGTCATTTTGTACAACCACCAACATGTGACTCAAATTACAAGCTTGCATGGGAGATTCATGTGCCTTAAGCGTTGTCTGTAGAAGAGTTTGTAATTTTGATGTTCCAAAATGGTAAAAGACAAGTTGCATTTCATGTATTCAGTTTTCTTTCTTCTGTTTTTAGGACCACCCCAGCAGTGGTGTTTTGGCAGTGGGTTAACCAGTCCTTCAATGCTGTTGTCAACTACACTAACCGCAGTGGAGATGCACCGATCACTGTCAAGTATGAAGGCTAAGAAAACTACTGAATGATCTAGATGCATGTTTTTATATGGAGCCCTCATGGCAACCCACGTATTGGGGGTGTAATTTGTTGTTTTATTGCACCATTTAGTGTTCTGAATGCATGGGCCACATTGCATGATGAAACCAAAAGGTGGCAGAGATCTTCATTACTGTCCATGTTTGAAATAGCTATTTATCATGTAAAATTATAACCATTCCTTTAAGATGTAGAATGTTTGCAGTGACGATGCTTGCATTTAATTTAATGTTGTTTGTTCTTGACATCATTGTTCTTCCTGTATCTAAAGGAGACTTGAGCATTCTGCAATGTCAGATCAGCAGTTAGGAGCTCCTTGAGAAATGTTAATGGTACTGCTCAATAAAGCGTTAAATCTAATATGTGCTGTTTTAACCTTTCCAGTCAGCTTGGAGCAGCATATGTCAGTGCCACCACCGGAGCAGTAGTAACAGCACTTAGCCTGAAGGCTCTCACCAAGGTCTGTCCTTACTCTATACTGTTCCTGTATTTAATAGTTAACTATAGAGTAACTATA